CCGTCGTTGGAGATGTCGATGCAGCTGGCCCCGTCCGTGTGGCCCTGGAACTGCCTGCAAACGAGACATTCAATTCGATTTAATTCATCCATCCATCCATTATCGTTACTGCTTATTCCCTAATGGGGTCACGGGGAGAACTAGAGCCTATCCCAGTGGTCAATGGGCGAGACACGGGGTACACCCTGGACAGTCCGCCAGTCCATCGCAGGGCCACACACAAGAACAGGGGTGGGCAACTCCAGGCCTCAAAAGCCGCTGTCCTGCCGGTTTTAGAGGTTTCCCTGCTTCTACACACTTGATTCACATCATCACAACATCAGCAGTCCCGTTCAGAGCTGGAGCACCGTTAGAAGAGATCAATTTTATCTGAATCAGGTGTGTAGAAGCAGGGAAACTTCTAAAACCTGCAGGACAGTGGCTCTCGAGGCCAGTAGTTGCCCACCCCTGCACAAGACAGACAAGGACAAACAACCACACACACTCACACACACACTCCTAAGGGCAATTTGGAATGTCCAATCAACCTAACATGCAGGTTTTTGGACTGTGGGAGGAAGCCAGAGAAAACCCACGCAGACACAGAAAGTTCCTGGTTCCCCCGGGACTTGAACCCAGAACCTTCTCGCTGTGATTCGACAGTGCTAACAACCACACCACCAATTCAATTAATCCCCCCCGGAGGAGCTGGTAGAAGTGGCAGGGGAGAGGGAAGTCTGGGTTTCCCTGCTACGGCTGCTGCCCCCGGATAAGCGGTGGAAAATAGATGGATGGATGGATGGATGGATGGATGGATGGATGGATGGATGGATGGATGGATGGATGGATAGCGCCACATCACAACAACGGTTATCTCACAGCGCTTTCCAAACAGAGCAGGTCAGACCCTACTCTGAAGTTAATTACAGAAACCCAACAATTCCCACCAAGAGCAAGCACTAGGCGACACAGGCAAGGAAAAACTTTGGCCAGTTGGGGAATGAGAGAAAAAGAGGGCAAGACAGAGAGAGAGAGAGAAGGACAGAGGGAGCAGAGAGAGGCAGCCTACACAGCAACACATAGACTGGATGAAAAATGGCAATGATATTGATACTAATGATAATTATAACAGTAATGATAGCAAAAAAGACTATGAACAGTGGCTGTAATTGTAGCATAGGAGGAACACTTGTCCAAAAGTTGGTGAATCCATTAATGACAAACTAATGATCGCTTAATCCTTTTATGTAATAAAGATTTTGTTATATGAAGGAAAAAGGAAAAAACAAAAAACAAATAAAGAATATCAAATAAGAATATCAATAATAAAGCTAAATGCATAAAAAATCTGGTTATAATTTTTTTTCTTTTTAAAGAATCAGAAATCGTTAGAAAAATCAACAACCAACAATTACTGGTCTGATTAGTTTGTGGCAGAATATACTTTTTTTCTTTTTTCTTTTTATACTCTCAAAGATGTTCTCTTTGCTTTGTTTTTTTAAAGATCAGAAGACCTTACAAAAAACAACAAACAATTACTGGTCTGATTCTTTTGTGGAAGAATATACTTTTTTTTTCATTTTTTATGCTCAAAAATGTCCTCTTTGCTTTGGTTACCAAAGTGCTCCCCCGCCATTTCTGTGCATCTACCTCTAAACTCCTCTTCCTTTCTTTTAGGCCTCCTCTCTGCCAATTTTGCTCAAAATAAATCTGGAAAAGGCCCCGCTTTCCATCTGCTCCCCTCATCCGACGACAGGAGAAATATCTGGGACGAGTCAGCGTCCCCCCTCACCTGACGAGCGTCTGGTTGTGCAGGTCCCAGACGACGATGTTTCCGTCGCTGCAGCAGGAGAAACAGACCTTGTTGTCGGGGGAGATGGCCAGGGCGTAGCAGGCGGGGGCCGACGACGTCAGCTCGGCCTTGATGCGGGGGGTGGGCGTGGCCAGGTCCCAGATGGACAGGGTGCTGGCCTCCCCGCCGACTATCAGGGTTCTCCCGTCGGGGAGGATTTTGCAGGAGCGGATGTAGTTATCCCTATTCTGATAGGGCACACACAAAAAAGATGGATCAGGTACGAAATCAAGAGTAAAACTTCAGAAGGTGGATGGTGACACTTGGGACATTTGGGAAAATCTATGTGGACAAGAAGGATTACAGTTAAAAAATGTAAAAACACACACAAATGAGTTTACATGGTAATGTTAACCCGATTCTTTAGTTGGAAGTAGATCAAAAGTATAAAAATGACATTTATTGGGTCCCAGGTAAAGTATATGAGCGCTAGGCTCTTCGCAAAAAAAAACCTCTCATGGCAAAGAGCCCCGAACTCCGTGTGTCATGGGTATTCATCTTCTGGGCTGGGCACACCCCTCAAAAAGGACTGGAAACTGCTAATTGGCCAGTTACTTACTACCCCTAACCCTGACTTGAACATGCCAGGTCCTAGTTAATGCAGATAACATTAAAATGTGGTAACAATGGTGAGTTTTTGTGTTGACCCGATGGAATGTGATAACAAATTATGTGGATCTAATACAATCAGAGAAAGAAAAGAAAGACTTTAACACAAAAATATAGTTAAATATAGACAATCAGTAATTTACATAGATCATGTGATAGCATACAATGCTAAAATGAGTAATTATGGCCAAATTCTAACAATAATATGTGTAATAAATAGCTAATATATAGGTAATACGTGTTCTTATCAGTGGGTCCATACAGATGTTGTGTGTGTGTGTGTGTGTGTGTGTGTGTGTGTCTGTTTTCTGGGCTCTCACCAGACAGTCCAGCTGGGCCATGGGGCTCTTGCTGCCCGGCTGGCTGATGTCCCACACCTTGACGCAGCCCTTGCCTCCGGTGTAGACGTGGCGCGTGGAGGTGCTGATGGTGACGGCGCACACCACCTCGCCGTGG